GGGGGGGGGGTGCGGGACGGCAGCAGGGCGGGAGCGCCGGGGGCCCACCTCTGGATCTCTGGCACGGTCATCTTGTCAAACTTCTCGAACTCGTCCTCCGTGTACAGCCGGTAACAGACGCCACTGTCCTCCCTGCCGGCCCGGCCCGTGCGCTGCCAGGCCTGGGTCTTTGACACGCGCTGCACGGCCAGCACCTCCAGGCCGCCGTCTGCGGGGAGAACGGCCGCGTCAGAGCCGCGTTCAGCGCGCGAACCCACCGTTCCCGCGGCGCTCCTCAGGACGCCGCACCGGGGGTCCTCCCTGCCACGCCAGAGTCCGGAAAAGTCCCGGCCGCACTGGAGAGTGAACCCACACTGCTCAGCCGTCGGCAGCGCGAGGCGTGTTGCTGAAATGGCAGACGGCCGCGTGCGTGCTGCAGGGGCCGGGACCGCAGCCCCAGGCTCCGGCTGAGGCCACGGACTGAGGCTTTCCCCGGGCCCGGGAAACGAGGGTGGCTGGTCACCCTCCCGATCAATGCCTGGGGACCGGATACACCAGGTCCTTTGTGCAGTGCGCCCCCTCCCCCCACCCGGCCCCAGCTCTGCTGTAAGAGGGAGACGATGTGATGGTGTCACTCCCAGGAGCAGACGTGACGAACGTCCTGATTAAGGTGTGCCCTATGCCAGGCCTGGGGGACGGGTCCTTCCACACGCCACCCCTAAGAACACGTGTGTGAAGGTCCGCGCCCTCGGATGCTTAGCAGCACGTTTCGATCAGGCTTTTGGGAGCGATCGCTTCCGTTGCCTCTAATCCTCTGTGGACTGAAGCAAGGTCGAGAGCAGACGGGACCTGGACCTCAGGCCGCCTTGCACTGCACACGCTTGGGGATCAGTTAGTGCCTCCCCGGCCCAGGGAGGCTTCCTTCCTAGGAAGGCGGAGCCCAGACGTCCCTCCCAACAAAGGTCCTGCTGCGGGGTCAGGTCGTGCCCGGCCACTCCTCTCAACCTGGCAGGACCTGGGCTCCCGTCCTGCCCTGCCTCGCCCTCACTGCTGCCGCAGGGCCCCTTCCTGGGGCACAGGCTCCCTCGCGCCGTGCGCCCCGAACCCCCATCGACGGTGGCGAGTCTCGGCACAAGGCGCTCTCTGGGAGAAGCCGGGGGGCTCACTGCGGGGAAGGGGCGCCCGCGGGCTAGCTTCTCACCGGGATTATACTTCTTTGCTTTAACCATGCCCGTGTCGACTACGTATTTTATTCCCGGAATGGTTATGGAGGTTTCGGCAATGTTGGTGGAAATGATCACTTTGCGACAGCCCTGAAAGGAAGGAGAAACCAGAAAAGGCGTGTGGCGCACACGGGGTTCACAAGCTTTAGAGCATACTCCTCACCATCAACCTCCACGGTCCAGCCACAATCAAGAACCGACAGTGTCATTGTTGACGAGTAACCACTACAGAAGGGGGAGTAAAAGCTCATTCCGAGGGGACGAGACGCAGCGGACCAGGAGGGGGTGGGCTGGACCCCTGGCCCGGCGGGGATGTCCCGTGTGCTCCCCGCCTCTGGGGGCTGCCGCGTTTACGGCAGAATGGGAGCGCCACCTACCTCGTCAGTTCTGCAGTGGGTGAGGCTGTGTGCGCGGGGCGCACGCGGGGTGTGGGTGGAGCGTATGCAGGGTGTACACAGGGCGTACGTGGGATCCACGCGGGGTGCGCGCAGTGCCCGGCATGGCACCCGGTGCCCAATGTCGTGGGCGAACGAGGCCGGTCCGCGTCGGACTTAGGGGTGCTGCCGTTCACGTTCCGGCCCTGCCCCCGCCCGCACCCGACAACGGTCTCCCTGCTCGTACGTCGGCGTGGGACCCGCCTGGGGCCCAGGACGGCGGCGCCCTCACCTTCGGGGCTCCCTGGAAGACGCGGAGCTGCTGGGCATAGGGCAGGGAGGCGTACAGAGGCAGGACCAGCAGGGAGGGGCAGCCGTCCGGGAGGTGCCTGGCGATGTCTCGGCAGATCTTGCTCGTGGCTTCGATCTCCTCCTGGCCGGTGAGGAACACCAGGATGTCCTGAGAGGGGGGGGCCTCCTGCGGAAGGGGAAGCGTGGGATTACCAGGTGCCGACGAAAGCACAGCCCCGGGGAGCAGGAGAGGGGTCACTGATGAAGCTCCCGGGGTTATCTTGTTAACGTGGACAACATGTAAATGAGCCTGGACGTGAGGGTCTCCCCTGGGAGGGCGGCCCCACCAGTAATGCACGAAGCCAGGACGGCGGTGAGTGCGTTCAAAAGCCAGCTGAGGCAATACCGGAGGAAGGTCAGCAGACGGCAAGGTGACAGGACAGTACCACGAAGGGCACAAGCCGGCCAAGAAACCTGCAGAAGCCTCCCTTCCTTCCCTGGAGCCGACCAGACGGAAGCCACCTTGGGGAAACCGTGGCGGTGGGAACGGCCAGAAGCAGTCGCGCTGGAAGAGGAGCCCTCACTGAACGATGCCGCCAAAAGCACGGTCGCACAGCCAAACGATGCCGCACGCGGGCAAGCGCCTGAGACCCCGGACCTAACGGGCTGTCACCTCTGCAAGGTCAGCAGCGTCCAGGCGTTAACGACATACTCCTGCACACGATCCTTCCTGCAAGTCTGTTCAGGTGTCTTAATCAGCAAGATGCTTACGTGACGAGATAGCTGAAAACGCTGAACTGTGCTAGATACACGCGCACGCGCATGTGTCTGTATGCGAAAACGTGTGTACGTTTACGTATGTGTGCACGTGGCTTTTACAGCCCCGTACTAACAGGACAGATGTTCACAAGTACGCACAACGGGACAAATCTAAGACAGTCAAAACCTCATCCGTGGGACTCATCAAAGCCACCATGGAGCCCGAACACATCTGCAGCCGCCACTCAGGACCCATCCTCACCGAGCTTGCTTTTTGGCAGGTGGACGCCTTCCTTGGTCTAAAGGACAGTGAAGCGGTAAGCCCAGAGCAACAAAGGCAGCGGAGGAGAAAAGGGATCACAAGCTTCGACCTGTTCTGAAAGACGAAGGAGACGGGGAGCGAATGGCGTGCTGGACGGAGGCGCTCCAGCCGGGGAGCGGTCTGAAGGGTCCGCGCCCACCGGAGATGGGCCCGTCTCCCCGGAGAAGAAAGGCCGTGAGGCAGAGGCGGGTCAGGGGAGGTGGAACCGAGGGTGGCACGGTCGACCCCTGTGCCCTGCCCCGCCTACGAGGGAGGAGGCTGGGAAGACACGGGAGGCAAGAATGCGGTTCGGCCCAGAGGCGTGGCCGAAGGAAGAGTCCAGACAGATGCACAGAGCAAGAGGCGGGGAGGGAGGTGTCTAAATCCTCACCTACCGCGGCAGGAAACTTAAAACACGGCAGGAGCAGCATCGGCGGGTAACGCTGCAAATACTAACGTGAATCCAGGGGAAGCAGTCAGGGGACCCGAGAACGTAACCCGAGAGACGCGATCTGGAACGCGGCAGTAAAATCAGCTGCCGGTTTCACGGTCCTTACACAGCTGCTGACTTTTGAAACTTTAAACTGCACACTCACCACTTAGATTGGAATAAAAATTAGTTTTAGAAAATTTGCCTCTGGTTTTCTCAGAAAGTTACGAGTTTTATAAGATAAACAAAAAAACGAGAGGATTTAATCCCTCAAACTTCTGAGTAGGTCTTTAATAAGATGAGAAGACATTTTGACACGTTTCTCTAATTCGGTTTTTCTAAAAGGAAAAAAAAAAAAAAAGCCAAAAGCTCCAAATGGCAACCCGTTTTTGGGTCGATACCAGCTTTTTTAACAACGACGTGGCCAACAGCAGAGAACGTAGCGTCTCACTGACTTCCTCCCGCTACACGTCATGCCCTTCTCACTGGGACTTTCGATCAGTCTGCTCTGACAGAAGTTTCCTGGCTCGGCTGAGGCGTGATGCCGGCAGAGCTGAGTTATTCTTCTTCTTAGAGAAAGTAAGAGTTGCCATAAAAAAGAACAAGAGGCCGGACAGGCCCCTCGTCTCAACGGCACAGCTCGTGGGCTGTCCCGCTCGGTAGCTTTCCTCGTCCAGGCGGCACGGGGAGCCAGACCTCTGCGGGGCCCGCCCGCACCTGCCTGTACCTGGTGGATCTGGAAGACGGAGACGAGAGCGGCGTGCAGGTAGTCCTGCTGGGGCTGTTTGGTGTAAAACACCTGGATGGGATGCTGCCGACCCTCCAGGTAGAGGACGGGTGCCCCGCCGAAGTACTGCGAGAACAGATCCACGTCCATCGTGGCGGACATCACGATCACCTGCGTCCGGGACGGAAGAGGCCGGTGGGGAAGCCGCACCGGGCCGGCCTTTCTGTGCCCTCCCCGTGACAGTGAGCCTCCCCGCATTGGCAAGCAGAGCGCGGGCCCCTCTGGCGAGCGCACCACACCTACTTTGAGAGGCAGCCTCCCCGGCTCCTTCCTCCGCTTCTGCGCGGCCTTCACGACCCCGAAGAGCACGTCCGTGTGGACGGTCCGTTCGTGGGCTTCGTCCAAAATGACACAGCTGTACTTCCGGAGCAAGGAGTCTGAAATCGCTTCTCGCAGAAGCATGCCGTCCGTCAGGAACTTGATCCTGGTGTCCTCGGAGCTGATGTCGTCAAAGCGCACGGAATAGCCAACCTGCGTGGGGGATGGTCCCACCGTCACTCGGTGAGCACCTGCGTAACCGGCGCTGAGCAGGCACTTGTGTCCTCACGGGGGACGAGGCCAACGCCGACCCTCCTCTGCTCCCTTGGGCACAGACAGACAGTGGACAGGGCACAGACAGACAGAGGACGGGTCCCTTTAGCTGCGATTAGGATACACGTTACAAGGAACCTAAAATGAAGCTACTTCCCCAGGTACTTGATAATTTTGAGTGACGCTTCGTACAGCTGGGAGAAGACTGGAAGGTTCTCAAGTGCGTGCACGCACAAGCACACACAGAGCTGACCTACACATGGTTCTGGGGCTCACTCTCAATACCCATATATACGCTGTATGTACGTATAGACACATATACGGACGAGACAGTTAATGGAGTTACTGAAGCCTGAAACATGCTCGAGGAAACAGCTATCCGACTTGCCAACAGATTCTGAAAGCAGAGTGCATGTCACTGACAGCCTGTCGGCCCTGCGGTGTGTGAGGGGCTGGAGAAAGACTCGGGGACAGGCCTAAGGACTGTGGCAAGAGCGGGCCTCCCTGCACAGGAGTCTTGTCCAGAAAGCACAGCGCGGGGGAGCGGGCGGCTGTCGTTAAAGAAGGAGGTGACGTACCAGCTTCCCGAGTTCAGTTCTCTTCTCGTCCGAGACTCGAGACGCAAGAGAGATGGCGGCCACCCGGCGAGGCTGGGTCACCGCGATGACGCCCTGGCGGCCAACGCCCCCCTCGTAGAGGTACTGCGGGAGCTGAGTCGTCTTCCCAGAGCCCGTCTCCCCTGAGAGAGGAAACAAGTCTCGTTTACGTGCAAACTGAAACAAATTCCACCAAAGTCGGGAGAAAAAGATAAAATACTGGAAGTTGATAGAGCTGAGAAAGCCACAGGACATCGGGCACTCGTGTGAGCTGCTGGTAGAGTGTTAGGTGGGACTGCTTCTCGGAAGGCCGAATTAGGTTCGAAACATCTTTAAGATGTGCACACCCTAGACCCACAATTCCACCTGCAAGAATTAATTCTGAGGAGGGGCGCCTGGGTGGCGCAGTCGGTTAAGCGTCCGACTTCAGCCAGGTCACGATCTCGCGGTCCATGAGTTCCAGCCCCGCGTCAGGCTCTGGGCTGATGGCTCAGAGCCTGGAGCCTGTTTCCGATTCTGTGTCTCCCTCTCTCTCTGCCCCTCCCTCGTTCATGCTCTGTCTCTCTCTGTCCCAAAAATAAATAAACGTTGAAAAAAAAATTAAAAAAAAAAAGAATTAATTCTGAGGAAATAATTAAAGATGTGTGTAAAGGTATAGTTTCAGAGAGGTTTCATTCAGCTTCGCTCATGACGGCAAATAACGGGAAACAATATGTATGTTCAACTGCAATGAACTACAACTGTTACGTAAAAAAGAATAAACGAGGGGCGCCTGGGTGGTTCAGTCGGTTAAGCATCCGACTTTGGC